AAAAAAAAAAAAAAAAAAAAAAAAATTAGGCTCAGAGGAGCAAGATCCAGAGAGAACAAGGCAGGACCCCAGCCAGGAAGAAACTGTGGCTCTGCTCAGGATTCTCTCAAGGGAGACACTCAGCTGCAATGAAATGTGATCAGAAATTAATGACTGTCCCCATGCCCAAGATCAGACCCTTGTTATCAGCTAAAAGGGCTTCATGCTGAGTCCATTGTGTTCCTGGACTTAGGTTCCTAATGTCTTCCTTGTCTAGGGTCAGGAATAGTTCCAGAGTGGAATACAGGAAGTAGCCTGCAGATGTCTGTCAGTGACTCCACATAAAAGGTGAAAAAGTGGAATACGAAAGGTGAATGGGAAGAAGTACACACCCAAGGGCACCTCAGTACTAAAGATTCTTTTTTGATGTTCAAAGTACTTAAATAAACTTCTTTGCATTGTTGGAGAGAATCTATATTATCTGCATCTCTCTAGGCATCTTTGTAAGATGCAGTAGCATAGGTTTTTGGAGCATTTTTCACCCCAAAGTGCTTGGAACTTTGGTCCTATGTGATTTCTCTCACTGGGAAGGGTGCAATGAATGATGACTGACATGGGAGAGGCCCAAGATATTGGTTCTTCAAGCTTGGAGACCTGTCTGGCTATGCAGTGTGGTAAACCCAGTTCACCACTGTATCCTTGCAGCAGATGCCTAATAAAAATACTGAACACATGGAGTATTTACCATGTGCCAGGAACTGTATGGTGATTTAACCCACACAAGAATTCTGGTAATATGCAGATGAGGAAACTGAGTTAACAGAGTTATTATAGAGACATTCAATAACTTGCTTAATTTATATACTTAGTAAGTGGCTATAATTCCAACTCAAGCAGTTTGGCTTCTGAGTCCTACTCTTAGCCATTATTGTACATTACCTCTCTGCCTATTAAATATCTGCTGACAGAATAAATGCAGAAACGACAACTTTGTCAGCATCCTGAATGACAGAGGGGTGTTGCATACGTGACCAGAATCATTCTTGGGATCAGGAGAGATAGCGGAGCATCCAGGGTTTGGGTTTTAATCCGAGTTTAGTTACTCACCGGCTCTTCCTCTTGGAAACTCTTTGTGCCCCACTTATTTGTTTGTGGAAAAATGAGAAAAATGGGAGACATTTCATCAGAATGTCATGGCATCAAATAAATGAACATGTCTGAAAAGTGTTTTGTAAATGAGCAGATGCTGTGTGAATACTAGTTTTATAAATAATGGAGAATGTACACAGAATAAACTAATGGATAAATAACAGTACTTGTATTAAGCACACAGTGCCTGATTTACCTGGTTAAGGCAAATGAAAGTGAGGAAGACTGTGTGCATTTGTGAAATAGCTGAGAATGTCATTGAAAGAAGAGCAAGAGGTGTTAGAATTTCCTGGTCAGAGAGTGGAAGGAAAAGAGACGCCAGTGGGTTTCCTGCTCTGCAGAGTCTTTCCTGCAGCAGTGATACATGAATTAAGGGACCTGATACTGACAGCCTGCCCCATGAGCAGGTCACTGGGAAGGGCTTTAGATAGCTTAGCAAAGCCACCTGGCTTTTCCTGATCTAGTATCTTTCACTTACTCAACAGTCCTCTGATGTGGGTCAAGAGACTAGTTTGCTGTCAACGTCCCAGTACCTATGATTATTTCTATGCATCCTCTGTGGTTCCAAAGCAGGCTGTGTCTGAGCTGAGACAGTGGGAGAAAGGGAGAAAAGGACAGAAAGAAGCAAGGGAGCATGGTGATTGTGTGTGTACTTGTGTCGTCAGGTAGTCCCGAGGGCCTTGCCCAAAAAGGCTGAAATGAGGAAGCAAAATGAGGGCAGCAGACAGGGGATCAAGGAGAGTATTGTAAGACCTCTGAACCTCAGGGCTCAAGAGTGGTGTAACTGTGTCGAGTTCAATTGCACATCGTAATTGCAAACCCCACTGAGCACAGACTTAAGGGCTCTGAGGTCAGACATCCATCCCCGGGTTCAAACCCTGGCCTCACCAATTATTGGCACAGTGACTTGGACAAGCTGCTTACACTTTAAGCATGTTTTCTTATCTACAGAGCAAGAATTATAAACAGGATCACTCCTTAGACAGTAATATGGATTATCATAATATGAACTTCTATCAGTGAGTCATTTAGGTAGCGCAGAATAAGCCTCTGATAAATGTCAGCTGTAATTATTTTTGCTCTTTAACAACATTTTTTAATGGACTTCTGTATGTAAGAATTGGAAAACTGGCACACAATAGATGTTCAACAAGTGCCTGAAGAAATATGTATAGACCCATAATCTCAGAGCCAGAGGAAAACTCAGAGCTCATTCCTTCCAAACCACCACCCAGGGTGGGAAACCTACAGTAGCCCAGACAGTGGTCATTCAGCCTAAATACCTCTAGTGACGGGGAATGCATTTTACCCCTGTGTCACAAGATATGCCTGCCTTTTTGGTATTAAAGCTAAGAGTCAAGAATTCTAAAGATCACACTTCCAATATCCTGACTTCAGTTACAGCAAGTGATCATATTCTGCTTTTCTGTACTTGCAGAGTCACTGATTTGTTAAGCATTCAGCAAGCTTTTCCTGAGTGCCAGCAGTCATACTAGGTTATGGGGACCCAGAGGTGAGGAGATACCAAGTCACCTTTCAGATGTTTGAAGTCTTCACTTTTCCATGTCAGCTGTCTTCTGCCTCCTCTAGCCCTCCCCCAGGACACAGGCTCAAATCCTTTCCTATCTGTACTATGGATGACACTCCCTGTGTGACAGACATGTATGTATGTCCATCAGAAATGTAAAAGCTTGGGGTTTAGGGGCCAAATCCATTAGATTCTGGATTGTTAGAAATGGAAAGGATCTTAGAAATCATCCAGTTGAGAGACATCCAAACTGACTAAGAACCCCAGGATTTCCTGGAAAATCCTCAGGAGGCTCCTCTGGTGAGGTGCAGAGTGAGCAGGAAGATTCAGAAACTCCAGGACTCTTCCTCTGTACCCAGAAATATTCTTTTCTCATGTGTTTTACAGTTTTTTTTAAAAGGGATAATCTGAACATAAGCTTCTAGTGCTAAAGAAAGTTTCAAAACCTAAATTCTAATCTACATGAGCAATTTGTGGAGGGCAAGGTGAGGCCTGCTGAAGGAAGCTGGTCATTTAATATTGCACCCTGAGTTAACAGCAGAACTGGAATGACAGCCCAGGTTTATGGATTTTCTCCTCCTCATTTTTCTCCTGTTTCAGCCTTTCCCATAGCCTATGTCCCGTGCTGCTCTGATGTAGGAATGACACCTCTGAGGCGAACTCTCTTTGGTAGGACTGGCTTTGGGGACACTCTGAAGCCAGGTTGGGATGATGGAAATTAGACTTTTGCCCATCAGCATCAATGTAGCTACACTGCTCCTCTGGAAGCGTCAGTATCTGCTTGGGGTCTCACTCACCCATTGCAATTTTTTTTCCTTTTGCATGAATAAAAAAGGA